TGCCAGGCTGGAGAGCTGGGCTTGTGCCAACCGCATGAGGCTCACCCAGGCCAAATGCAGGGTCCTGCACCTTGGATGGGGCAATCAATGCACTGAAAGAGTAGCAGTCAAATGCTCGATGTCCAAGTGGAAGCCAGTGACCGCTGCCGTTCCTCAGGGGTCAGTACCGGCACCAGTACTGTTTAACTTCTTTGTTGGAGACATGGAAAGTGGGACTGAGGGCACCCTCAGCAAGTTTGACAATGACAGCAAGCTGTGTCGTGCGGTGACACACTGGACGGAAGGGATGCCAGGCTGGAGAGCTGGGCTTGTGCCAACCGCATGAGGCTCACCCAGGCCAAATGCAGGGTCCTGCACCTTGGATGGGGCAATCAATCCCAGGCACAAATACAGGTTGTGTGGAGAATGGCTGCAGAGAAGCCCTGAGGAGAAGGACTTGGGGATTTTGGTAGGTGATAAGCTCAACATGAGCTGGCAACGTGCGCTGGCAGCCCAGCAACCACCCACAACCTGGGTTGCATCCCCAGCAGCGTGGCCAGCAGGGCGAGGTGGGGGAATTCTGCTCCTCTGCTCTGGGAAGACCCGCCCCCAATGCTGCGTCAAGCTCCGGGCCACCAAAAGCAGAAGGACACGGACCTTTTGGAGCGGGGCCAGAGGAGGCCACAGAGATGCTGGGAGGGCTGGAGCCCCTTTGCTAAGAGGACAGACTGAGAGAGTTGGGGGGGGTTCAGCCTGGAGAAGAGAAGGCTCCAGGGAGACCTTTGAGCCCCTTCCAGTCCCTCGAGGTTCTGTCTACAGAGAAGCTGGGGAGGTGTCCCGGTTTGAGTAAAACAGAACTAATTTTCTGTTCAGTAATTTCACTTTTTTCACAAACATTGCTCTTATCCCTCTGAGAACGACCAGTTTTCTCCACAATATGCTGTTAGTTTCAGCGAGTCAGAAGTGGCCTAGCTTAAATGTAAAATTACAGAACACAAAATCCCCTCAAACCGGGACACCCAGGTTGCCCAGAGAAGTTGTGGCTGCCCCATCCGTGGAGAGGTTCAAGGCCAACTTCGCTGGAGCTTGGAGCAACCTGGTCTGGTGGGAAATGTCCCTGCCCAGGGCAGGGGGTGGGACTGGATGATCTTCAGGGTTCTCTCCAACTGTTCTGTGATTCTATGAATGTGGTTTTATTTTCCCCTATAATACCCAGATTATTACTCTAATTTTTTGATTAATTCCATCACAGGTTTTATGGCAGGAGCAGTTTATTGCTTTACTCTAGGGCAAGAAAGCTGGCTGAAATAGGGATTTACATCCACTATTGCAAATGACAATCCTGCCCCAAACTATATATTGTGCCGTGAGAAGTTTGGCCAGCTATTAAACCCTGTATCGGGGAAAATGAACTTAAAACCAGACCTTCGAAGTGGTGCGCTGCAAACTGTTAAACTGAGATTTGGGAAAAAAAAAGCAAAAAAAAAAAAAGCAGCATATGTGACTCCGTTAATGTCAAATATGCTTGGTTAAAAAAACTAATTTTCTTTTTTAGAGGAAAAAGGTTTTTCTATTTTATTGTATTTATTTTTTGTTTTATTCTTATTTTAAATTTATTTTATATTAATTTAATTTTAAAATTTATTTTATATTTATTCAATTTTAGTTCTTTTTTATTTCATTTTATTTATTTTTATTAAATAAAGAACTTTGGGGGGGGAGATCTTTCCTATTTTTATCTTTCTCTCATCTTTTTTTTTCTTTCATTTCCTTTTATAATCCCGTAATCTGATGGCGCAGGGGTGTGTCGATACACAGATATACCCTGCGGGGCTGGGGGGAGGCAGCGCCCAATAATATCTTAGGGA